TGAAAGATTTTTCATTGGATACCAATAACCTTGACCCTTTTGACCTTGACCTTGGAGTTTGACCTACTTTAAAAATACAACATTGACAGAAATTGTTGAAGGGTTAGGACTAGGGCATTCATACTTCACATATTTAATCTTTGTGACAAGACCTTTCATTTGATTTCAAGAACCTTGACCATCTGACCTTGACCTTGGTGTTTGACCTACTTTTTACAAACTTTAACCTTGACCATAACTTCTGAATAGTTGGGGCTAGAGCTTTCATATTTCACATGTGTAATCCTTGTGACAATAACTTTCATTGGATATCAAGAATCTTGACCCTTTGACCTTGACCTTAAAGTTTGACCTACTTTTTACAAATTTTAACCTTTAACTTTTGAACGGTAAGGGCCAGTGCTTTTATACTTCCCATACGTAATCTTTGAGACAAGGCTTTTCTTTAGAACACAACAACCTTGACCCTTTGACCTTGACCCGGAATTTGTCCTATCTTTTAAAATGTTAACATTGGTCATAACCCTGGAGCAGGTGTAGTTAGTGTTTACATTTCTCATTTCTTGTGAAAAGACCTTACTTTGGTACCAACATATTTGATTTGCATTTGAGAAAGCTTAACTGTCGCTAAATTGCCGTACGGGGGCATCAGTGTTTCACAAACACATCTTGTTTTTCAGTAAATTTTAACCTGCTTTGTATTAGTGGATTATTTTTTTGAGCATTAAATGTTTGTAGCAATTTAGATCTATTTCACAAGGATAAGATGTTCATATATTTTGCCATCTCTCTGCATAAAATAAAATTTAGATGACCATATTTCTCACTTTAGAGAGTATGTTTCCTGTTTATAGAACATGGTTTATGGATTTTGGTAAATTTTTCTGTCTGTTCAAATTCACCTGCATGGCACAGTGGTTAGAGTGTCTGCTCTAGTAGAGTCGCGAAATATAAGGTGTTGATCCTTTAACATCATGAGTTTGAATCCCACTGTGGGATGTGGAGACCTGTCCTTGGGATGATACAGTATAACTGTGGCCCCTTGTTGCAGTAGGTCAGGTGTTGGCACAAAAAAGATCCCTTCCTGCTCAATCAGTCAATGGCCCTGAGTGCTGAGTATAGGTCATTAGGACAAAATTTGCAGCTCTCCACTGTCGTTTCCATATGAGTGAAAAATTCTTGAGAGGAACGATAAACAATAAGCAATCAATCTGTCTGTTCAATTTATTCACTGATATTACACAACTGTATACACTAAAACTTATTTTATAGCAGAGGTACAAGAGAACCAGTAACACAGATAAAAGATGCAGTTCCTAAGAGATCCAAAGTCAGCAGCTCCTAAGACTATACTGATCATAACTTTGAATTATCAGCATCCAAAACAATGCAAATCAAATACAGGTATGAAATTGATACAACAAATAAGTTCTAAGACAAATATAAAATTTATTTTTTATAAGACATAGCATATCAAAATGACTAATATACTAGTCAACAACTGGCCAGCTTTAAAAATATATTTGTTTGATGTACTCCTACCCACTTTTATCAAGGTTGGCAGGTAGGTTGGTAGGTACCGGTAGTTTTTTTATGCCCCACCATGATTATGGCCTGGGCATATAGTGTTTGTCATGTCTGTCTTCCGTCTTTCTGTCCATGTGTCACACTTTGAGTTTAGCTCAGTTCAAAGCCCAGTTTCAAACTATACAGGATATTTCATCAAACTTTGCTGATAGATATTGATAAGAGCTATGCAACTGCATCAACATTTTCTGTCCTTGACCTTTCCTTTGACCTTGACCTCACTTTTCTTAAATTAGTGTTTAACTTAGTTTTAAACATACCATTCAAGATGGTGTTACAGCAAAACTCGGTTATAACAAAGTTGCTGGGACTTATGAAATAACTTCGCTATATTCATAATTCATTATAATCGTATAAGAAATTCATTGAAATTTTATAGCTGGGAATCCAAGATGACTTCGCTATACCCATGAATTCGCAATATTCCTGTTCGTACAAAACGAGATTTACTGTATCAAACTTACCATACTGATGAGAGCTTTTCAACTGAAACATTTTTTTATCTTGGCCTTTCTTTTGACTTTGACCTCAGTTTTCCTAAGTTAGTGTCAAACTTCATATGGTGATACATTCTGATGTAAGCAATTCAACTGCATCAACATGACCTTGACCTTTTATTTGACCTTGACCTCACATCTCTGAAATTAGTGTCAAACTTCATATGCTGATACATACTGATGTAAGCAATTCAACTGTAACATTTTTCAAGATATTCTGATCAAATTTCATACGAATTTTCATTTTGCATGACTAATATACCCTTGGTGGGCATTCCTGTCCTGTGGACATATTTCTAGTTTTTTTTTTTCTTATGTCTTACAGCATTGAATAAATTGATAACTGTCATATTTAAAACCACAGACTCAGAAATCTGTTAATGTTTTCATTTAGTAACAAAGACTTTGTATTTATAAATTAAAAAGCATCCTAAAAAAATATGATACCTTATCTTTAAAACATCTATGGAAATTAAGGGGGGTGTTAAAAAATTTTAAGTGCCCCCAAAATATGAATGCAAATGGGTAGGGGCTATTTTAACAGGTCGGTCAGAGTACATCAAACAAATCATTTTTTTATTGTTGGCCTAGGAAGGGTACCCTAAATATGAAAATGCAACAAATATTTTTAAATAAAAAGATTTTAAATGAAAATATTTTTATGTATAAAAAGGACAATTTTTATTCTGATTTTCTTGTAAAATCATTGATAAAATTTAATGAAGAAAGTTATTAATAAGATTTGTATCAAATAAATGGATATTTGTAAGATTTATAACTCCTTATTTGTGAGGCAACTTAGTCCTACATCATTATCAGTTGCACATACAACTATGGCCTATGTAATAATTCAATTGGCATATTACAGAAGCTTGCTAAATTACAGGTTTTGTCTGTACATCTGGCAATCTTAGGGCAATACTGGATGGTTTTAACTAAGAACTGATCCAGCATGAAGACCAGCCATGTGCCTCACCTGTCATGACATTATTAAAGGTAAGTGTCCCTATAAGCAAAGAATCTGACAAAGCAAAACCTTCATCTTAAAAGATTTACATTTAATACTTATTTGATTGGTAGTTTTAATTATTTTTTTTCTTCTACGCAGCCTTTTATTTAGCATTTCTGAGTACTGCATGGTATATGATTGCCATACTTTCCAAAACTTTTTAAATGCTTTATTTTGAAGCATTTTCCATATCCATATATACACTGTACAAACACAAGACAATTTTCACCCACTCACCACCACAATTGCACACACTCACACAGTGCACTTTCTAAAATTAAAAATAATGAAATGTTTGTAAAATACTTATGCCCCCCTCCCCCCACATTGGAATTTTTTATCTAAGTCCAAAAAGGCATAACTCTGTCAAAAATGGTGCAAGCATACCCAAAAGAGAACTTGACCTAGATATTCATCTGATAAATCTGTATACTAAATTGCATTTCACTATGTGCAACCTCTGCAAAGGAAATGAACGGAAACTGCAAGTAATTGGAATTTTTCTAAATCCAAGGGGTATAACTCTGTCAAAAATGGCGCGATGATCATACCCAAAACAGAACTTGACCTAGATATTCATCTGATATACCTGTAAGGCTGTATACCAAATTTCATTTCAGTGCAATGGTTGTGAAGAAAATGAATTGAAACTAAATGGACTGACAGACAGCAGCAAAGCAATATGCCCTCCTTTCTATAAAGGGGGGGGGGCATAATAAATGTACATATATGTAAACATATGACAGTTAAACATACAATTCATCCAAAAACAAAACAGATGTACCCAATTGTGTAGATATAAATTAACAAAAACTTACAATTTTGATTTTTTCATCACTTGTTGTACACATTATCATACAGGACCCATTTACTGAGTATTTTGTCCTTACATTGAAAAACTTTTTCACAACAATTTTCTATGTTTCTGTAAAACTTGAATAACTTTACTGCATCAATAAATAATGGCTTACTATCTTGTGATCTTGAATAGTAAATAAGATTTTTTGCAACTAATAAAAAAAACATTTTCTAAACAACTTCCTTCTATATTAACAAGTAAAACAGTTCTTTTGAATATTTTGTAATCTTTTTCAATGACACTAAACCGTTGTACAAATTGATTCCAAAATTCAGTCACATTAATATACATAATCATAAAATAAGTGAATTATTGTCTATTGTTTATATCCTGTTTCTATGTCTATTTGTCTTTTGTCAACTTTAACCTCCACCATAACTTTTGAACCATGAGAGATACAGACTTCATATTTAATATGCCGACTCCACTAATTAAATTCTTTCAAAAGACACCAAGGTCAATGACCTTGTGACTTTGACTGTGACCTATATGCTAAAAATAGCTTTTTTAAAACTTTCGCCATAACTTTTTGATACATTAAAGATAGAGAAATCATATTTGGAATGCCTTCTTCATTAATTATGCTCTTTCAAATGACACCAAGGCCAGTGAACTTTTGACCTTTACTGTGACTTTAATGCTATAAATACCATTTTGAACTTCACCATACCTTTTGTACCGTTAAAGATAGAGACTTCATATTTGATTTGCATACTCCACTAATTAAGCTCTTTCAAATGACACCAAGGCCAATGACCTTGTGACCTTGACTATGAACTATATGCTTAAAAAAACTTGTTTGAATTTGTTGCCGCCTGGTGCATAGTGTTTCACAAACACATCTTGTTTTGAAGTAGTTTTGATATTTGAATTTCTGTAGAATTTTATGTTACATATAAAAACCAAAAATTTTTAAAATTAAAATCATATTTATTTCAGTACTTTGTGACAGTGGGATGATGGAATATTAAAGAATGGACATGGCTCTATATTACTGCATCAGAGATCAATCCAGGTTTACTTATAAGTCAAAGAAAAACACTTAAACAGTCAAGCATCATTTGAAGCTACATGTGTCACTGCTTTAACAATATGCCTGCTTATATAACCAAGAAAGCACAGTGACCAGTTGTACCTATGATGTCAGACAAGATCCCGAAAAAACTTCCAGTACACTCATCACTACCTGCAAAGAATTAAAAATTCTAAATGTCTTGTATCAACACTTTTGTACTTCATCTGGCTTGTATTTTCAGTACTCATTAGCTTTTAGCTTCCTTCAAACAAAATTTCATAAGAACTAACTTGCAGGTGTAAAATATTTGAAACAGTTTGCATGTCCCAAAGGAAATTCTGCCAATTAGCAGTGGCATGAGCAGTTGATTGATGTCACAGTTCCACCGGCAAAGTATTTGTAGCTGAATGGTGCCATGTAAAACACTTTTCACAAGAACATGGAAAACATCCTAGAAGTGAGGATCTACAAGAAATTAAGAGAATACTTTTTGAATATTTTCAATGTTATAAAATGCTTGTGTACATCCTTTATATATAAAACTAATTACGCATGTAACTACCAAATATACAAATTAAACTTCAATCCTTAAATTTGTTCTTAAGTTTATTTATAGTGTATTAAAATAAGCATGCAATATTTGTCTTGTTATACTGAAGGATTCAATGTTAAGAAAATGTCGTTCATTGAAAAAAAATGTACAACCATTCTGCGCAGTTAGCAGTTTTTATGGAGAACCTATCGATGTGCATTTGCAATTGTTGGGATGACAGGCACACAGCAGAAGAATTGTACTTGTTAATAAATGTTTTTTACCAATCAAATTTCAAATTGATAATTTAATAAGAAAGCATATGAGAAATTTAACTATCATTATGGTCCATTGATTCACCATGGTGTTTGAGCTTTTGTGGACTTGATACTTAACTAGTAAGTTTGAAATATTGAAGTAAAGAAAAGTGCAGCCCAAAAAATTATCCTGTACCTGATTTAAAATGAGTGCCATCCTTAACTACTTGGGAGTTGCCACACTCTTCATGAGTATAAGAATTATTGGATATGCCTCATTAACAGGTCTATACTGGTACATGGATGACACATTCAGTCGAAGCATTGTCCCTTTTTCAGTACCTCCTGGATCTCTGTAAAATATGACAAATGTAGATAACATGTTCTAACATTGATTGATGAATGTCTTATGGACCCAGTGCAGACCTGTTTGGTGACAACATTTGATAAATTGGGAATTGTTCTAGCTAAGACAAATAAGAAAATTCCTATTTCTAATGCCTATTTTAAGAAAATAAAATGTCTTTCTCATAATTGTAAGAGTATTTGGGAACACGGGCACCTGAAGTATGGATAATACCCCCCTTTTTTTTTAAATTTAAAAAAATATTTAAAAAGGGGGGGTATTATCCATACTTCAGGTGCCTGTGTTTGGGAAGGGGGTCATAAGGCATTACAGTTAATATATTGATCGTACATGTATGTCGTTTAACATCCTACAGTTAATATTGAAGTTAAATATATACATCCCTGTTTACATGAAAGAAGTATGGCAAGCCCTTTTACTATTTATTCGTAAAATAATTTTTTCTTTCAAAATGAGAGATATCTCTCTAGCAAAGAGGGATATCTCTTTAGCTTATGGAGATATCTCTTTAGCTTATAGAGATATCTCTTTGACTAATAGAGATATCTCTTTAAACAAAAGAGATATCTCTTCAAACAAAAGAGATATCTCTTTTTGAAAGAGAGATATCTCTTTTTGTAAGAGAGATATCTTTATAAGCTAGAGAGATATCTCTTTAAGCGAGAGAGATATCTCTAAAAGTTAGAAAGATATCTCTTTAACAAGTTTAAAAGAGATATCTCTCTTACTTAGAGTGATATCTCTTTAGATTTTCAAAAAGAGATATCTTTCTAAGCTAAAGAGATATCTCTTTTAATGAAAGAGATATCTCTTTTCCAATCACCCTTTAATTGAAATAATTAATTCTCCCGTTAAAAACGAAAGCGAAACAGGAAGTAAAGTCTGTTAATTAAGTCGTTCGTTTTCTGATTATTGAAAAGAAGAGGGGAGAATGGACTGATTGATACAAGTAAACAACGTTTAATTGCTTTATTGTTTTAAGCGGAAATAACAGGATTTCAAACCAAAACGTTCCCCAAAGATTGGTTCCATAGTATATTTATTTCATTTATTTAGCTCACGGGACAGCTGAGGTCGGGATATAGAATGCAAAGTCAATAAAAACAAATACGAAATACATGTACCCAAATTCATCGATCAAGGGAATACACGGTTGATTACTATGTCGATTTAACATAATCCTGATAGAATTAATGTTCTTTTTATGCGCCCGGATCGATAGATCCCGAGCGTATATTGTTTTTGTCCTGTCTGTTTGTCTGTTTTTCTGTTTTTCTGTTTATCTGTTTGTCTGTCTGTCTGTTGTCAACTTTAACCTTCGCCATAATTTTTGAACAATAAAAGATAGGGACTTCATATTTGGTATGCATACTCCACTAATAAGGTCCTTTCAAATGACATCAAGGTCAATGACCTTGTGACCTTGACTGTGACCTATATGCTAAAAAATAGCTTTTTCCACTGTTTGTCATAACTTTTGAACCATAGCAGATAGGGACTTTATATTTGGTATGCATACTCCACTAATAAAGTCCTATCAAACGACGACAAGGTCAATGATCTTGTGACCTTGACTGTGACCTATATGCTAAAAATTACTTTTTCCACTGTTTGTCATAACCTTTTAACCATAGCAGATAGGGACTTCATATTTTGTATGCGTACTCCACTAATAAGGTCCTTTCAAATGACATCAAGGTCAATGACTTTGTGACCTTGACTGTGACCTATATGCTAAAAATAGCTTTTTCCACTGTTTGTCATAACTTTTTAACCATAGGAGATAGGGACTTTATATTTGGTATGCATACTCCACTAATAAAGTCCTATCAAACGACGACAAGGTCAATGATCTTGTGACCTTGACTGTGACCTATATGCTAAAAAATAGCTTTTTACACTTTTTGCCATAACTTTTGAACCATAGGAGATAGGGACTTCATATTTGGGATGCATACTCCACCGATTAAGTTCTTTCAAATGACACCATGGTCAATGACCTTGTGACCTTGACTGTGACCAATATGCTAAAAATAGATTTTTTGAACTTTGTTGCCGCTGGGCGCATAGTGTTTCACAAACACATCTTGTTTAATTTATTAATAATCCAAAAATAAAAACGTCCAACATCGATTACTTCTTTCATCATGTTCATGTACACAAAGGGATGTATATATTGAATTTCAATATTAACCGTAGGACGTTAAACAACATACATGTACGATCAATATCTTAACTGTAAAGCCTTATGACCCCTTTCCCAAATACTCTTACAATTATGAGAAAGACATTTTCTTAAAATAGGCATTAGATATAGGAATTTTCTTATTTGTCATAGCTAGAACAATCTAATGGTGTCACCCAACAGGTCCGCACTGGGTCCATAGGACATTAATCATTCAATGGTAGAACATTTTATCTACATTTGTCATTATATTTTACAGGGATCCAGAAGGTACTGAAAAGGGACAATGCTTCGACTGAATGTGTCATCCAGGTACCAGTATAGATCTGTTAATGAGGCATATCCAATAATTCTTATACTCATGAAGAGTTTGGCAACTTCCAAGTAGTTAATGATGGCACTCATTTTAAATCAGGTACAGGATAAATTTTTGGGCTTCACTTTTCTTAAAAATTACTTCAATATTTCAAACTTACTAGTTCAGTGTCAAGTCCACAAAAGCTTTAACACCATGGTAAATCAATGGACCATAATGTTCGTTAAATTTGTCATATGCTTTCTTATTAAATTATCAATTTGAAATTTGATTGGTAAAAAAAACCATTTATTAACAAGTACAATTCTCCTACTGTGTGCCTGTCATTAAATCCCATCGATTGAAAATGCACATTGATAGGTTCTCCATAAAAATTGCTAACTGTGCAAAATGTTTGCACATTTTTTTTTTTTTATTGAAACTTTCACACATATTACAAACATTACAAACTTCTGTAAGGATATATGTACAATCAAAATCAAACAAGACTAATTATAGTTGGAACATACAAAATTAGTGTAAAAATTTATGAAGAGAGAGAGAAATAGAGAGAGGGGGGGAGGCAGGTAAGCATTACATATTGTGCCCTAAAAACATAATCAGCTTTCTTTAAGCTTAACGTATTAAAAAAAAAAAGAAAGAAAGAAAGCACAATTTTTTCAATGAACTACATTTTCTTAACATTGAATCCTTCAGAATAACAAGACAAATATTGCATGCTTATTTTAATACACTATAAATAAACAAGAACAAATTAAGGAAGTTTAATTTGTATATTTGGTAGTTACATGCATAATTAGTTTATAAAGGATGTACACAAGCATTTTATAACATTGAAAATATTCAAGAGAGTATTCACTTAATTTCTTGTAGATGCTCACTTCTAGGATGTTTTCCACGTTCTTGTGAAAAGTGTTTTACGTGGCACCATTCAGATACAAATACTTTGCCGATGGAACTGTGACATCAATCAACTGCTCGTGCCACTGCTAAGTAAGTTAGTACTTATGAAAGTTTGTTTGAAGGAAGCTAAAAGCGTAATGAGTACTGAAAATACAAGCCAGATGAAGTACAAAAGTGTTGATACAAGTCATTTAGAATTTTTAATTCTTTGCAGGTAGTGATGAGTGTACTGGAAGTTTTTTCAGGATCTTGTCCGACATCATAGGTACAACTGGTCACTGTGCTTTCTTGGTTATATAAGAAGATATATTGTTAAAGCGGTGACATATGTAGCTTCAAATGATGCTTGACTGTTAAAGTGTTTTTCTTCAATTTATAAGTAAACCTGGATTGATCTCTGATGCAGTAATATAGAGCCATGTCCATTCTTTAAATTCCATCATCCCACTGTCACAAAGTACTGAAATAAAAATGATTTTGATTTTAAAAATATTTTTGGTTTTTATATGTAACATAAAATTCTACAAAAATTCAAATATTAAAACTACTTCAAAACAAGATGTGTTTGTGAAACACTATGCACCAGGCGGCAACAAATTTAAACAAGTTTTCTTTAGCATATAGGTCACGGTCAAGGTCACAAGGTCATTGGCCTTGTGTCACATGACAACAAGTGATGAAAAAATCAAAATTTTATTTTTTTGTTAATTTATATCTACACATTTTGGTACATCTGTTTTGTTTTTGGATAAATTGTATGTTTAACTGTCATATGTTTACATATGTACATTTATTATGCCCCCCTTCGAAGAAAGGAGGGCATATTGCTTTGCTGCTGTCTGTAGGTCCATTTAGTTTCCATCATTTTCTTTTGGACTTAGAAAAAGTCCAATATGGGGAGAGGGGGGCATAAGTGTTTTACAAACATCTCTTGTTATTTTTAAGTTTGGAAAGTGCACTGTGCGAGTTTGTGCAATTGTGGTGGTGAGTGGGTGAAAATTGTTTTGTATGTGTTTGTATATATGGATATGGAAAAAGCTTCAAAATAAAGCATTTAAAAAAAAAAGTTTTGGAAAGTATGGCAATCATATACCAGTACTCAGAAATGCTAAATAAAAGGCTTTGTAGAAGAAAAAAAAAATAATTAAAACTACCAATCAAATAAGTATTAAATGTAAATCTTTTAAGATGAAGGTTTTGCTTTGTCAGATTCTTTGCTTATAGGGACACTTACCTTTAATAATGTCATGACAGGTGAGGCATATGGCTGGTCTTCATGCTGGATCAGTTCTTAATTAAACCATCCAGTATTGTCCTAAGATTGCCAGATGTACAGACAAAAACCTGTAATTTAGCAAGCTTTTGTAACATGTCATTTGAATTATTATATAGGCCATAGTTGTATATGCAACTGATAATAATGTAGGATATTAAGGTACCTGACAAATAATGTTATAAATCTTACAAATATCCATTTATTTGATACAAATCTTAACTTTCTTTATTAAATTTTATCAATGATTTTACAAGAAAATCAATAAAAATTGTCCTTTTTATACACAAAAAATATTTTCATTTAAATTTTTTTATTTAAAAA